TCATCAATATTTGTGTCTCTTCAGTATATATGTTTCATTTTTTACCTGTTGCTACATGTTGTGTGCTTGACGAGTGTTACAAAAAAAAAAAGATTTTCTTTGTTAAAAAAAAAAAAAAAAAAAAAAAACACTATGGATATGGCGTTGAATAAAAAAATTATCCAGTTTACTTTATTTCCTTTCATGAGTGCTTGTGTGGGCTTGATAGCCTTACCGGCTATGATGTAAATATTAGACTGGTGTAACTTACAAAACTATGGATATGGTGCTGAATAGATTAACCAATACTTGTGATGCAATACTTGATATTCTCTATGCATAACACTCATGCTTGATATGTTAGGTGAGTGACTAGGATTTGAACATAAAGTAGGAAGTAAGCGATAACCTTCTATTGAATTACACCATAAATTATTGTAAGGTAGTTTGGAAATGGTTGAGCAAGCATAAGGGAGCATTGAGATAAGAGGGGGCTTCGTGAATGAATTATAGTGTGTGGATTGCCTAGACTAGTAGGGTAAAGATTAGGTGAAAGTTTTAAATTGGGGGTTGGTTTTGGAGACTAAATTCTAAAAAAAATAATAAAAGGCATAAAAAAAAATTTAATTTGTGTGAACATGATACTTCTTTCCAAGCATTTATGACTCGAGCAAGTAAGCCTGTAAGGGTCTCTTCAAACTTGGTACCCTAAGGCCAACTGGTCTGGGAGTCACCGGCCAAAAGCTCGCTACAAGGGTCATATAGAAAGTAAGAAAGGAAAAAGTTAATAAAAAGTCATCTGATCAAGTCTTTATAACTCGAGTGAATAAGCCTGTAAGGGTTTAAAACCTGGTGCCCTAAGACCAATTGGTCTGGGAGCCATCGGCCAAAAGCTCGTTACAGGAGTTATATAGAAAGCAAATGAGAAGGTAGCATATATATATATATATATATATATATATATAAAACTACACCTTTAATGCGAGGCAAGTAACTTAGTTAAATTTTAAGGGTTAAAGCAATCAAATTTTGGAGAGCCCTTACTTGTTGACATGTGAACTTATGATAGCAAAATCAATCCGAACTAAGAGAGGGTAAGGACTATAGTTACCTAACGTCCTAGCTTTAAGACACAACCCCGGGATAATTGAGTGAAAAGATTAAGTTTGGGGGGTTGTGTATCTCTCAAGCGAAGCAAGGACATATTTGACCACTCTGACACGGGACTCACCCCATCATAAACTTGATATGTTGGCATGATTTCACACACACACGTCGGGTATGCATTTAACAGGTAAAGGTTGGCTTCATTTTTGCACTGATCAAAATTTATTGAAGCCTAACACTTAATCCAATCCTGAGATACGACAAGTTATTAAGCTATGTTTGTGTAGAGTTAAGTCATTATCTTATTTGAGAACAAACAATAGTTCAAGTTTGGGGGGTTTGATAAGTGTGTTTTTATATACTTATTTAGTTCATAAACATGATGTAATTAAGAGCAAAACATTGGAATTGTGATTTAACTTTGGTTAATTTGTGTATCATAGGACATACTGATGAACATGGTGAAATTCAGAAGAAAAGAGGTGAAAAAGGGCTAAATTGGAGCAAAAGGAAAGTTCAGGGATCAAAGTGCAATTATTTGAAAGTTAATCCGATGGACACATCAAGCAATTGATCGAGCAAAGTACCAATTGGAGATCATAATGGAACATTGGAACAATTAGAAACACGAAAGGAGGTCAAGAAGTGGAGAAGTAAAGTTTGATGACCAACATAACATAATTTGAAAGTTTGCTCTATTACGCGGTCGCATAGTAGAAACCCCTATGCGGTCGCGAACACCAAGGCAAGGAATTAATGCGCCAAATTTCATAAACCTATACGGTCACATAGGTATATTTTGTTGCCGATTCTACAGATTCCAATTTGCGAAAAAATTCTTATGGAAACCTAATCTATATGCGATATAAATATCCAAATCCGTCAGAAACAAGGGAGAACGGATTGGGAGGCAAGAAATTACATCTTGGAGAGGATTTTGAGCGCAAGTAATGAAGAATTGCACGAGAATTTTCAAGATTTATCAAGTATTCATAATCCGGTGATGTTCTTTCTTCAAAATCTGATGTATTCTTATAATTTATCGATGCTAGGCTAGATTTTCATGTACTGGGAGATCGATGTACCATGTGATTTGATCTTTAATTTTCTAGTTTTACAATTTGACATTAAAAACACGTTTTGATTGTTTTGAATGATTTATATATAATTTTTGTTCCTGCAATTAAGGGCCCGTAATTGTGTGAGTTTAGGTGGCGTATTCTTGCATTTGAGAGAATCAGAATAGGTTCGATATAATACAAATCATCGTAGGGTCCGATAGGGGATAAAAATATACCGCTATGCCCTACATAAATTTTTAAGTGTTCACAAGACCGTATGCATTTTTATATATACACTTGTCATAGAAATATAGGTCGGTGGAATGTAAAAATAGGTTCGATACATCTTGAGAGAGAGTATTGGATAGATTAGGGGCACTGATTCGTCAATAATTTAAGTGTGTTGTCACATTGTGAAATTAGGGTTTAAAGTGATAATTGCATGGGAAATCGTTATCCTAGTGTTTTTAATTTCCATTGAATACAACCAATTCGCGCTCTAACATATAATTTGTATTTTAATTCATTAAAATATCGTTTTGCATACTGAGTTCATTCCAATCTTTAATTTTGCATAATTAGGGTTTTCTTTCTAAAATTAGGGTTTATTTAGGTAAATATTCACAGTGAGTAATTTCGTTTCGGTTAAGACTACACTAGATAAAATTGAACTACTTAATCTCTGTAGGACGATATTCGGACTCTAAAAATCCACTTTATTAATTGTTAACGAATTGTACACTTGCGGTGATTTAAATCGAAAGAAATATTTTGTGAACACTTACCACTGTAGACACAATGCTACAGAATAGAATGACTCTTACCAAGCATACAATGGGACCACCCAAACACTCCTACTCCGGCTACATGGGCTAACCAACGCTATTTAGCAAACATCTAAACTAAAATCAATTTCTTCCTTGACACTATTTCAATAATGATAAAATCACTATAACCCTACTTTACTCGTTTATGGCTCTGATACCAAAAGATGTCCTAGTGGTTTACAAGAAGATAGAGGAGATAGATGAGAAATACTTGAAATAAAGAAGTAGAATTTATTAAAAATTTGAGATATAAGATCGAAATACAAAATTTGAAATTTCAAGATTAAAAGTTTAAAAACTTAAAATACAAGGTTTTTAAAGTTTCTTGAAGAAGTTTTAATCTCCCGCTCTCAAAACTTGCTAAATACTTGAAGCTTGATCTCCTTTTATATTTGAAATTTCGGATTTGAAAAATTCTTGAACTTGGTTGAGGAATCTTGAAGGATAACATATATATAATACAAGAATATTGTGATCACTTTGGAAGTGCTTAAAATTTAGTTAAAGTGGGACAAAGACTTGGGAAAATCAAAGTCGTGTAAGATTTTGATAAATATTTGTTCTCAATCATCCACATTGAAAAGTCATACTAATTGTCTCATAAGAAGTACAATACCACGCTATTACACAATTATTTTATTTACGTTGTATCTTAGACTCTATAGAAACTGAATTGTTTGAGAAACATCACATGTATTTGAAGTAGAAAATGAAGGGAATGAATTTCTACCGGGCAAGGGATGTACCATTTTTAGGGATAGCAATGGGACGGATTCGAGGTCCCCGTCCCCCTAGGCATTTTTCCGCCTTGTTACCCATTTAAGGCAAGGCGAGACGAGGCGAGGCGTTTTGCCCAATCTACGTACCAATTTAATTTTTATTTTATTTTCTTTTTAATTTTTGATAATTCATTTTACTACCTCCATTCATTCAAGCAAGATAATAATATAGTTTTTAAAATTTTTAATTAATTTATTTATTTTTAAAATTTAAATTTATTCAAATATATTTGGCAAACTAATTCTTACAAAAAAAAAATAATAAAATAAAATAAAATTGAACAAGGCAAGACCCCTATACCCACCTCGTTCCCGACCCAATTACCCGATTAAACAGGTAATCCCTACCCCGAAGCGAGCATTGAGTATGTCAGGTTTTTTTGCCATCTCTATCATTTTATACCCGATTAAACATAATTTAAATTAGGCCATACTCACTTTTTTCCATACATTCTGTAAACCCACAACTTATTACCCAATTTTTATCAGTAAAATTACTTTAGTTCACAATTTAACAATCTCAAGCAAGCACCAAAAAATTGTTAATTTGAAAATTATAGCAATAATGAGTACAAAAACAAATGCATAAACTCTATATGGGACCAATAATTCCTCTTCCGACTTCATAGACAGTATTCAAGACGGGATGGATCTAATTTGGATTCAACCAAAACCTTCGATAATTTTGAATGGGACTTGTAGAGTGACCTTCCCCTTCACAAATAACAAGTGGGGGGAAATGATTCTCCAATGTCAATGTCTGTTCCCCAAATGCTTCCTTTTTATCCTTGTTGTTATGGACTGAGATGGTGAAAGGGACAGGCAAAATCAACATAAAGTACGTACCCTTCCATCACTAACCTTGAGGGTTCCGAAAGGGTATATAGACACTTTATATCGAGCATTGACAGCATCTTGAAAGCAATATCCCTATGAGTTTGAGGGGCACGAAGCATGGCATTGGCCAATTATTAAGATTCACGACAGTACCATGCTTTAGGAAGAACCAAAGGCCAGTCATGTATGAAGCTGAAGATCCACTTGGAGCGATAATATTATTTTCATGTTTGTGAATCACAGATAAAACGTCGAAAGTAATTATTATATCATTAAACTACAATTAGATATAAAAATGAAAAGAATCTATAGTTATCGCACGTTATACAACTATTTTGGAATTAAAGAAACGTCATAAATCATCGAAATTTTTGCAAAATTATGGACAAAAATTAAAAGAAAAAATTACTATTCTCTCCTGAATCTAAATCAAGTTTAAATAATTCTCTTGATATTGAAAATTAAGCTAAAATATTGACTACTATATTGTTCAATCTCTCATGTGCAATATAATGTACAGTAAATTGTAAAAAAAACATTGCCACCAGAGCAACAGCCAAAAAAACATTAAACTATTGAACTCTCCGACTCTGCCGAATATCGTATGACAAAACATGCCACCAGAGTAAAAGCCTTGCAGCAGATGATCCATGGCAACAATTGTGCAAAACTCGTCTTAAATCTAACAAATGAAACTGCTCATCCACTGCAAATAATTCTCCTTCCCTATTTCAATATAGGAATTTTCTTCAAGATAAAAAATACATGAAAATTTCGTAATTGAAGCTTCAGGACATTAACTAAGTAGCAGCAGAAGGAAGAGGTTCAGTGTTTATAATAAACAAGATGATATTATCCTCTCAAGAGTGTTTATATTCCTCTCATTTACACACCTAAAAAAATCTAAATTCTGATGGCATTATGATACAAATGGAGTTTGCTTGCAAAGGAAATGAATAATGATTTTCCATAAAAAGCACTCACCTTCGTGCCAATATGGCGAGCGTTACCTGAGATTTGCATAAAATTGGTCTAATTTTTGTCCTTGCTGCAATACGACATGAAATATTGAAATTATTTGGATATGCATCCAACTTTCAGGTGGATTCCAACTCTTCAATTGTTTGTTATACAACATCAATATATTTCGGCATTGTGGATTGCACCATTCAATCACTTGAGCAACAGAGTGAGCGACTTATTCATCCAACCAAATAGCACCTTTATGTGCAATGCAGCAATACACAAACAATGAAAGACAAGTTCACAAAATTTTGTCTTAGATACAATTCACATTAAGCATCTTCTGAAAATATAGAAATCGTTTTGTTCACTCTTTGGCCCATGTATAATGATGACATGGAGGAGGTTTAGTGTTCTCAACACTGTGGATAAGTATGACAATCATATTTTATGCAATAGTTTCTTCATTAATTGTTCATAACTCAATTGCATAAGAACCTAGTCAAAATTTAGAAGTTGAATAGCTGATTACTTATTTATACCAAAGCAACATGTACAGATATTTTGGGATTTTGACTTGGTATTGTCCAATTGAAATACGATTGTGTTTGTCCATTCCAAATAGAGTAGTTGCTCATTTTTGTCTCTAATTGTAATGAATAGAAACTAAAATCCCCTGAGATTGTGTCCTTAAACAGAGTCTCCCCTTGGTGTTAGTTACAGACTATTTTTATGTCTTTGGCATAATTTAGTAGTATTTTACGTAAATCTTTGTGTTGATATTTCTCCATATATTTTATATCTTGACTTTCAAAAATTTCTTTGAATAAGGATCCTGCTGGCAAGTCGAGAAATTGGTCTCATTTCCCTACACAATCTATAGTAGCTCAATTGCAAAAAGAATGATAAATGGAGTACACAATTTTATTTCATTTGTTCTTGGTGCAGAATATGTGGATGACGTGCAGACTAAGGGCAATCAATCCAAAGGCAATGGGGGTTCGATGAGTTTCTGCTTACGGAGCCACATGCTACAATTGACTAATCCAGTCGGGAGGTTGTTCAAGTAGTGTCATTTGACCAAATAACAGTATCCAGATCAAAAACCAATCATGTCAAAACAATGAGTTATAAATTAACATTTATGAAAATATCAATCCTTCCCCACCTCCTTTTCCCAATTAGATTAATATCTCTTGTTCCCTTTTCCAAATTTCTATGTCAAGGGTCCAAATGTTTTTTTCTTTTTATTCTGTTTCAGTTTCAGTTTTGAGTTTTCCTTTCCTTTTTTTTCTTCCTGCTATTTTCGTCTTTTCCTTCTCCTTTAGCTTCTCATTCCAATTTCTGAAATGAAAAGGCAAAAAGGCCTTTCTTAAAGGTCCAGCCTGTTTGCTTCTAAAGACTGAAAGTCACTCAAAACAAACAAAGAAAAAACATGTAGAGATAAGATGAAGAAACTGTTTGAAACCATGTCGTTCAAGTAAGGTCATAAGGAACTCCTTTGGAATAAAAAAGCACGAAAATAAAGTAACATAGCATAAATATACTTGGAGTTCGCACAATCAGTGAACCGAATTTGTATATTGAACTACGATAATCTTGTAAGAAAGCAGTGCATATTAGGTACACAATTCTTACAGAAAAGGTGTAGACAATGATCAAATGGAATCGGCACCGCATGTTCTATGGGATCGGCTGACATGGATGACATAGAGGCACCAAATTCTCTCAGCCACCTCACCTGGAAGCATGATCCATGAATAATCAGTTCAAAACACATAAAGGGAGGCAGAGAAGAGAGTTATTTCACGGAACTCACATTCTTTGTGCTCCATCCCGTTGGTAGTGCAACTACAGCATCTGTACAGAAAAAGAATTGCAACATTTTACAGAAAGAACACATTCTTACGAGGATAAGCAAATTTTGTATGAAACCTTAAAGAGAATCGAGACATTGAAAAACCTGGTAGTCAAAGAATCTCCTCTGAATTGACTCTCTAGGTCACTTAGAAATGATCTGAAGAGCTGTGACCTGCAATCGGATGATCCCCATCTTCCTTCGTGTTATTAAACTAGAGTGAGCTAGATGAAACTAATGATTATTGATTGCAAAAAACAACTAGGTACAATTTTCAAGTTGATGGAAGTTAAAAGAAATTTTCACTAGAAACTGAAGCAATATATGCTGCTACACCATCTCCATGTTAAGAGCGGTTTAGAAACTTGAGTTCGTCAAAGGAATTTAAGTCCTTGTAAATTTTGATTTTGTCCTAATTTGTTTTATAAAAAGGAAGCCTGTCATTAAGTTTTTTAATCACCATCAATAAAGAGAAAGAGAGGTTAGAGAAGACCGGTTTGCGATTTTCTCTTGCAAACTTCTTTTAATCATAGTGAATTACTGCACAATGGAAGATGACATAGTTTCACATTGAGACGAATCTCTATAAATCTTGTATATCTTTATTCCTTTCTGCTTATTGATTGCTCTCGGTGGAACAAAATTTGGATTTTAATTATCAACAATCCAAATATGTCATTGGATTAAATAGAGAGGTATTGTAAAACTTCTAAAATGTAAAAGTTGTACCAGGAAGGAATTGCAACTGCTGCAATGATAGGGGGCAGTTTCCTCAATTGTTTGGGTTGATTGCTCAGCAAAACTTCGAAATAGTCCAGAACACTTTTTTCCTGCTTTAAAATAACACAATTAGGAAAATAATGGCAAGGAAAATCAATGTAGATGGAATAATTTAACACGTCCCAATGAAAACAATAACTTAAGGAAAATAGAAAAGGAAGAAGCCCAACAATGTAATATCAATTAATCCTCTCAACGTAAACTGTCATATTCATACATCAGGAGTAGTGTCTACAAAACTTCTAAATATTGAAAATTTGAAGCAAATTAATTGTCATTGAGTGTAAGCACACTGAGGTCCCTAAATAAAAACTATTGCAATGAAGTTAATTTTACAATTTGTTATATAAGTAGTCTATTTTAATTACTCATGACACCCAAGGCTTGAAGTATAAATATTATCACAAAAACATAAACATTAATCTTTTTATATAACTAAATTCTATAGTTAAAGCAGCAAATCTTTCATTAATAAACATAGTTGGGAAATGTTCGGCTCAAGCGGCCAAGGCCACAACACAAAAATAGCTGCTTAAGGAAGAGGCCAAAAGGAAGACTTCTTCACATGCGCTGTGACCCAAACTTTGAGTATGGACTCAAAGAAGAGTCTTTGTTGCATATACATTGTTAGGCAAGTAGGATAGGGAGGTCGCAAATGAGCTTATCCACACAATCTATAACGGGTACGATAGGGCTTGAAGACAGTAAACTTGAAGTGGAAGCCCTAATCCAGCCTCATAATACATCCATATGCAACTTCGATAAGGAGTATTATTTGTGTAGCCAAGGAACCTCATATCTTACGAAGTGCGAGAGGTAAAATTGATTAATTATCTAGAGATGGGAGACAGGAATTTAAGTCGAAGTTACTCGCATATTTCCTATATTTAATTGAAACATCAAAACTGCACATGCTTCCCAACCCAATGCCCTTAGGCCCCGTACACTGCCACCCTCCACCTCTTACATAACGCTCTTTTTGAATAACTTAACTATTGTTTGTTTTGTGATAGTGCAGGGACGAGGGTACACATGTTTGACTATTGTATCACATATCCATAGATGTAGGACCAGACTCCAAAGTCATAAAGCAACAAAGCGTTCTGACGATGAGTATTAGGCCAATCCTCACTTCGAGAGTGTAATCCCTATTTGTTACCTTTGAGTTCAACGAGCCTGCGTTAGAACAAAGGTCTTGAGATCTTCCAAGTGATATGCTGTGCACATTATGATATAGCTTAGAAATGGTTAGAGATTCATAAGAACTTGACATTAGTTGACCAATTAGAGAACTCCATCTATCAGCAATACACCCTATTGAGACGAGTTCCTGCCATAACAAGGGACCAAAGATAGTATGTCACCACATATAATACATAGGAAGTCAATAGATTGAATAATTCATTTGTTACTTCAATAAGCTGTAAATATGACAGAGTATATATAGAAACAAAACTGTCATCATAACATGGTCGAAGTATATATATGTTAGGTTAACAATTTACGAATATTATTTGGCATTATAATTGATTACACAATCAGCTATCCACCTGCAAGAGACAGGCATCTTTCTGGTCCATTTCAAACTTTGTCAATATAGAAACAGATAGACTTTTGACTGAATCAGATAACTCGCCAGATATTTACAGAGATGCATTCCAGTATGACTGTATTAAGCCGAAAATTAAATGAGGAATAACTACTAAAGGAAAGCAGAGTATTGCTAACTTTAAAGGCTACGTAGTATATTATCAATTCTTAACTTCTAATTATAGATCATTCATGTTACTAAAATTGACCAGGATTTTCTGCTAACTTCGGTGCTGGAGTAGTTAACAGTTCCATTCAGATTCATAATGGGATGAACAAGGTAATCTACATTGACATATGAAGTCATAACAGCCTGTTCCAACTCACCCTCTATGCATGTATATACATGTAATACCTATATGCACACACACATGCGTCTCTGAATAGTTTGTAATAGCAAAGGAGTAATCATCAAAGCACATAATTTTTACTTTTTACATTTTTTTTTTTTTTTTTTTTTTTGAGAATCTGACATATAATAGTGTTTTTGAGAAGTGGACTTACTATTATTTCAGATAAATCATCATCAGTTTCTGCCGAAACATTGAGTCGTCCTAGAATTTGAATCCATTTGTCTTTAGGAGCTGAAAAAATCAAACTGGCACCAGAGACCAGTCTCATAGTTCGCTTGTCAAGCATGTATAATAGGTTTCTCGCTCTCCATTGATTCCATACAACTGATTCCACCGGTGGTTCTTCTGTACTTTAGGGCAATAGAAAAAACAATTACAATTGAATCAAGAAATGCAACCCACAACAGAATGACCTGCCTGCATCTAGTTAAAATCCATTAGTACATATGTGAAGGAAGAATAAGACCAAAGAAAAAGTAGTCAAGAAGACATTACACAATTTGAAATGGGAGGCAGTTGTCATTTTTAAACTACAAGGAGATGCATAAAAAAAAGGGTCACGAGTATATACAGTCTCCAGGAGATATAAGCCAGAACTACACGTTGTTATCATGTAATAAAAATGAGCCTTTTGCTTTCACAAGATGAAGGAATAACAAATGAACAGAGTTCTTAGTCAGTGGTCTGATAATTCATTCATACTCAATTAAGTTATAAATGAACTGAAGATGATAAACTAGTTAATTAACATTGTGAAACAGCCTATTAATACGAAATTCATTGTCTAACTCTTAAAAATGAAAAGATATATCATTCATTTCCTAAATATCACGAAAATCTTTAGATTGTATTGTACTTTGACTAATTGATTTTTTCTAAATCAAAAGTTATCAAGATAACATTTATTTCCTTAAATATTCAGATTTTTCATAGACATTACGAGCAGAAAAACTATTAATTAACAGTTCTTTCATTTACTTCACTTAATAAATAAATATCACAAATACTTGAACTCACATGACCACCTGGTAAGTAAATTGGCTAGCCAATCGTACACTTTGAATACCAATAAATCACTAACACCAGCTCAGCACACTGTAATAGATCTAGCAAGTACAAAACTTACAATAGAGACGTCTGGTGTTGCATTCGTTCTCCATATGGCAAATTACCAGGCTCATTGCATAGGTTTTCTCCAATGGCCTTTGAAAGAATTCCCAAAGCTGTCTGCACAACTGACACGCACAACACTGCACGCTGCCTGCTTTCAAATTCTTGTATAGCACACCCACTAAAACCGCCATCCATCCAATTCTCATGTTTTCCACTTGGAGTAGCATCTGGAGATGAAAAATGTTAAGTCATCTAGTAAAGAATTTGGCCTACTTAACTTTGACTTTGTTGATGCATTCCGCATCAATCTTTCAAGTTATACAAGAAGGCAATTCTTGTCTAGCCCGTGAAGCTCACCAAAATCCATTTCAATAGTGGCTGCTAGTGTAGCTCTGAGAATTGACTCCCTCAAGGGCACTGTGTGGATCAGATGTTTTACAATAAGATCGCTTGCTCCAATTAAGGTCGTGGAAGATAGATATGCAAGACCCTGCTTAAAATACCAAATATATAGACAAAAAATCATTGTGGTTAATTTACAACAATTAGCTATTCTAATGATACAAAAAATTATGAGGACAGACTGGAATATTCTCCACCTGAGGGAAATAGTGACTGGATGTCAATTCAGATAAAGCTGCATCAACTTCCTCGATGGAATCCTCATAATCTATCGAGCATGTCAAGTCCTTGAACACCTAACCATGGTAATTAATAGAACAAGTGTGACAAGCACTATCTTGATACATGAACCAACTATGTTATTGCTAAATTAAAGTGAGCGTTTCTAACATATATTGTTAAAACTTGTGGTCTATCTTAATAAGGTCAACCTTTTTAAACAGAGAAGCCCAAGATTTTTATAAATTGGTATTTATTTCGGTATTAAACCGACGTGGGATAACACATCCCTTTACATATATTAACATCAAAACAAATTACAGTATCGGCAAAAATGAACACACAGCTATCCGAAAATTAAGATTTGATAAAGTACCTTTCTCACGAGCTAACAATCAGTGGAAGAGAATTAAAAAAAAAAAAAAAGTATAAAAAATAACAAGAACAACAAAGCAAATTTTGTTGGTACTGTATGCGAAAGTATGAACTGGGGATTCAGAATTGGATAGGAAGGACTCAAATTTTTTAAGTGCTATTGCAAAAAGCCAAAACTCCACGTAAACGAACATAAAAAATAAAATAAAAAATAAAAAAAGAAATTTTGTACTTACATTCTGAAGAAAAGTAGCCCATTGAAACGCTTTCTTGATATTATAGGTATCCCAGTGCGCTTGGCGGCCTGTTGATTGATACCCAGAAGCCAGAATCAGCACGTCGACGAAAGCTTTTACTAGTTTGATTAGATCTTCGAGTGATATGTGAGGATAAGACCAACCCATTTTTCTGATTCTGGAACCCAAATTCAGCTGCTGAATTTGCGAAGTAGTGTCGCAGTTAAGCCTCTGATTTTCCCGCGTATAAAATGGAAAAACTACGGAAAACTCGCTTGGCTGGACTCCATTTTATCATGTTTAGGCCCACTTAAAATTAAAATTCATTTTTCTTTATTTTCTTAGCCCCGTTTGTTTATCATTTTTGGAAGAATAAGAAGCAAGAGATAGAAATTTAAATTTGATGACATGATGTGATGGATAACGATCATATTTTTTATTTTAATGAGAAAAGAATGAGAACCAACCTAGGACTTATCAATCACACATTCACAACGCTAAAATCCAAAACTTTTCATTTTTTTAATTACACATTATTCAATAAATTACTATTCCAAAATACTTTTTTCTCAAATTCTAATCATAACGGAGGCTAAACAAGAGTTATAATTGAGTTCTGGCACGGAGACGTGGCCTTGTTCAACAAGAATAATCCATTTTAATTTCAGTACATCTCTCTTTTTCTTTGTAACAACACATTTTTAAATAAAATAGTATTATACATGAAGTCAAAAAAAAAGTTGTTTTTAACCACGCATTCTTCAAAAAAATTACCATTTCAAAATAGATTTTCTCAAAACCTTAAAACAAAAGTATGGTATTAATAAAAATTGGAAATCTCATCAAATCTGATCAAAATTTTCTTTTTCCTATTTTTAACCACATAATTTTTAATAAAATAATATTGCACGTAAATAAAAAACTTTTTTTATTTTTTTACAACCATCCATTTTTCAAAAAAAAAAAAAAAAAAAAAACTATTCCCCCATTATACTCAAAATTAATGGCGGCAAACGAGGTCCTAATTCAATCATGCTATGTTGCAAGAAGCGGATGATAGAGCGCTTGACATGGTGATGTGGATTATTTGAAAAGTTGAATTTTTTATAGAAACCAAAAAAAGGGGTTGCATCTCATGGCACAAGTTCGTCCATCTTCGCCATTTGCACTGGAGAAACCATAGACCATAAAGGAATCCATCCTTTCAATTGTTTACGAGGCCACCACCACCCATCTTCTCCGGCATATCTGTGTGTATGGAAAGTAAGTATTCTTTACTGTGTATATAAAAGTATTCTTTACTGTGTATATGAGTGTCTTGTTAAGCTTGTGTGAAATATATTTTGGATCCAATATGTTTGTGTATGAATTTGAATTAAGAACCCTTCTTTGTGGCCTTCTTCACGTTATGTATACGTTCATATACTTTGGAACAAATTTGAATATGTCTGAATTAGATTTTGGAGATCTCATTTCACCTATTCTTGAGCCTGTGATTTGTTACTACAAATGGTATTAGCTCCCTTTATACTTTTTATGAAGGATGGGTGAGGTGAGGTGGGTTTATTTTGTCATGCAAAAAGAACACAAAGCTAGTTATCTCTCTTCTGCTATCTATTCATTTTGACATTCAAAACCTTAATTCATTCAAGATGAGAAAATATTAATAAAATTAGGTTACCCGTTATCCATGTTCCATCAATTTGTTATATAAGCTTTTTCATTAGTTTTTGCGTCATTTTAACATTCGATATATGTGTTTGATTCCCATATTACAATGGCAAGAAGGAATCATGGAGTCTATCATAACTATAGATAGAAGGAAGACTTTTTGCGAGACATCCGAGCAAACATCCTTGCCCATATTGTAAACATGTCCTTGTTGACTGTTGTAAGATGGAGAAGAGCACTAAGAACAAAGGTAGATTATTCAACTGTTACAGCAATAAATGTAGATACTGGGAGTAGGTCAAAGCGGGTGAAACAAGCAGTGTATCAAGGAGTGTCATATTGACATTTGATATATGTATTTGACGATCTGAACTGCATTTTGCATGACACTATCTAGACCAGCAATTATCCTATGAGGAGCTTTATCGTGCATGCACTGCAACCATGTTCTAAATAGCCATATTTGTATCCTCATTCAACACCGAACCACAACCAAGAAGTGTCGAATGTTCACGATGATACATTCAAACAAAAAGGGAGAAAAGACATACTTATTAGTAAGGTACATGATATCGAAGGTAACAATATTGCCAAACTCCTTACATGCTTGCTTGTTCCTATTATTTGCCCAAAAAACATTATTTAATCGTTATTATTCGTCCAAATCCATATTAAAGTAAAACATCAAACCCCGTGCTTACATATTCAAAAAGTATGATTGTACTGCTGTGACATCTCTTTCTCCAAGTCTTAATCGCCTAGCCCTTTATATATAGTTTCAATGATCCTTTTTCGCTCAAGTCATATTCCCATATCCACTTGCTTCAACAACTGCAGAGTTATAACTTTTGTACATTGAAATTCTTATCGTATCATTTACTTCAAGCCGTCGTTTAACTTGTGCGCCCAATTTTCGGTTGCATATATATAGCCTAGATTTCAAGAAACTAATTTAATGATTGTGATCGAGATGCACTGTGTTAATTCTCCAAATTCTATGCATATCTGAACATGGAGTCGGTTTAACTTTACATCCACTCTAAATATTTGCTTGCGTCTTCAAGTAACAACTTGTATTATTGAATATTTTCTCTGCATGACTACAAAAAAATGTGACATTCCTCATAACTACATCATCCTTCTTTTTCTAATGCCTTTTTCTAACTAGGAAACATATATTGTACGCATGTCTTTTGTAAAACTCGAACGTGTCATTGTCATCCTTGACCTTCATACTCACCTCAAGCACAATCACACCATCTTCTCCTAACATTTCATCACCTTGTAACTTCATATTGTCTGTAACTTTCTCATTATTAAACTCCACCAAGATAATGTCGTCCACATCTTCAAAAATTTCTTTCCCTACAACAAAAACCAATCGCAATGTTAAAACTACCAGTAAACTAATAAGGGATTGTCATGTAAGTAGCCAAAGATTTCAACATCATCCCTTCCTAAGAAATAACCATACACAAACAAAGCAACATTTCGAATATGCAAGCATGGGGCAAACGAACTTTGTAATCAAAAACTACACATTGTTAGAAAGATGGACAATACTTTTTTCTATCATCTCTACAACAGAACAACGATGGATCTGGTGTTGATGTGGTTTAGGTTGTCAACTTGTGATGATAGCTAGAAGAGGAAGTGTGGGCTTTGTGGTTCTTACAATGCGTCTCTAGCATGCTCAGAGGACGGAGGGTGTGTCTCTAGCGTGTATCCAGAGATCGGACGATGGGAACCGGAGAATGGTTGACACATCGGCTAGAGGTTTTCTCAAAATTTTGGTGATCTTTTGCCCGCGCATAAATGAAAACAAATGGGGTCAAACCGAACTCTTCCCCATTTCACGTGGTTCAATTTTATTTGTTTATTTATTTCAATAACCACGTCGTTCTTTTAATGAGAGTGCTAATTGCATGTTTTAGAGCAAGTTAGGAAAATTTTAAATTAGCTCTTTAAATTTATTTATTATTCACACATTTTGTACCGTAAACTACTACTCACTTACTATTTAGACATTCCGTACGACATACAATATTTTCTTTTTTCCATTATCCATTTAATATATGTGTGTGAAATTAAGTCAATAAGGGCAGGGATACACGATTTGAGTTGTTGGGAAAGAGGCGGATTGAGGTGAAGACAAAACCTTTCGGAAAAGCGAGTCAGTCTTGTGCCCCTCCACCATCTTTCAGAGAAACATATTAACAACTCCGCGTTCACCTGGCTTTCCAATCCACATCCATCACTGATTTTGATCTTTTTAAAGGGGTAGAATTTAGGAGGAGCCGACCTTTTGGGACTACTAGCAGAGTTGCGTCTCTCCTTTTGGTGGTGGTTTTTTGAGGTGGTGGTCACACGTTTAGAGTGTATGTCAAATGTTGTGTTGATATTTGTTGGTGGTGCCTGTAGTGATGATATGTCACAAGTTAGATGTACCAGGTCACACGTTATTGTGCATTGGTCACATAAATATTCGTAGGTCATAAATCAAATAAAAGTGGTCACAAATCATGTTTGTATATCACAAGTCACACTCCACAGGTTTCCAAGTCATACTGTATTGGTCATAGATCAATGGTCATCATGTATGGGCCACAGATCAATGTCCACAAGTCATAGGTCGCTATGAGTAGGTTATAGATCAATTAAAATTAGTCACAGATCAATATCCATAGGTCATAGTTCGATGTCCGCATGTCACAGATCAATTCAAATTGGTTATATATCAATGATCGTAGAATCACATGTCATATGTCAAAGTGCATAGGTCACAAACTACAAATTCAAGAGATCTTGCATGCCATTAATATCTCCGATCACAGTTCTCTGAATTGGTCACAAACTCAATTTACCGAATTTCAATGGTGAGAATGAAATTATTTATCCGATGAGTACTCTGTAAATTTCACCATATGTTGTTTTTTAATTTCTAATTTAAAAAAAAAAATAGATTTAAATTACGCCAACACTACTCAGTTGTTGAGAATACTCAATCAATGTTATTCCACGGTTGTTATGTTTCTTCCTCTATCTCTACTTCTAAGTCAATGATGCTCAGTTGCCAATATCCATAAAATATACATAAAATCTACAATCAGTTCGCTGCTGAAAAAGTCATCGACAATTTGTAGATTTTATGAATGCTAATAATTGTGAGGGTGGATGTCGACGTGTAGATGCCGAAGGACCGGTTCACGGGAGCGGGGTAAGGTGGGAATGGAGGTTTGGTGGAGCAGATAAATTGATTTAATTTAATAATTATGTTATTTAAAATTAAAATATTGAATTAACACCTGAATTTTTGAAATTTTAAACTTAATATCTAGAAATTGAATTGGTGCATACTTAATATCTGATATATGAATTTTTCCCTTGTTTCAAAACATATTTGGATGTTTTTAAACATAAACAAAAAAGCTAATTACTGGGCGAAAACGCCGGAGGAGTAAACTAAGAACACGCTTTACAAATGTGCCAAACAGTCAACTTAGGAATCCACAGCGTGTTTTGCTAAGTATAATTAATAATTGAAAATAATCAAACACAATTTTTATTTACATATTTTATGAAACCACGTACTTATTATTCTCTTAACAAGCATACAAGTTGATGAGACAACGAATTTAAGAGAACTAATGGTGATATTTGAATTGCATCTCTTAACAAGCACACAAGTTTAGGAGAAACGATTTGCAGAAAACTGATGGTGATATTTGAACTGTGTCGATACCAACTACCAATTTTAAATGCACATTCACAATGCCTTAAACATAATTTGCTCAAGATTGGGTTCTACTTAATATGCCCAAACAATTGGTATTGGCATCAAAGCACATGGTAATGACCCCACTATCGAAGGGACGACCCACATAGGGCTAGTTGCAGTGGAAGACTGATTTATGAAATTACCTAGCTTGGCTGCCGATGAGAGCTGAATCTATCAGGCCCCACGTTACCAAGTTAAGGCAACTAAAAGACTTACAAACACTTTAACACACTTCCTTACAAGCCAGTTTTAAGGTTATTTCTACCCAATGAAATTGCAATTTACACAAGACAGAGAAAACCAACACAATTCATTCACAACCATTAAAGCACAGGAGAATGACCCCACTACAGCTCTTGTTCCCTAACCTGCTGGGGCAGGTCCCGCAATTTACCTCCCTCACAAAACTCTAAGGGCGGGACGGTGGGGACACTCAAGGTTGGGGTTCAACCTTTTTGAGAATGACCCCACTACCAATGGGACGACATGTGTAGAGCTACTTGCAGTAGAAGACTAGTTTTGTGCACCGTGAAAGTAAGTTCTAACATAAGTGGGTGGTGAATCTATCGTGTTCCACATTACTCAGTTAAGGCTTAACTATAGACTTACAACACTTAAAACACCCTACTTACAAGCCAGCCTTAAAGTTAATTCTAGTTGCTATTTACACGAATCATAGAGAGCCAACACAATACTTCAAAACCATTAAGCCTAATAAGAGATGTCCACAATTTATAGAAAACCAAATTAGTTTCATACTTGATGTCTTAAGAGGAAGACACAACTGACTAACTCTTGCAAAAATCCTGTAACAATTAACAGTTTTCATCTCTCTAAACAAAAGCATCAAATTTTAACGACTCCAAACAGAAGCAACAAAATCAAGTACTACCGATCAACCCAAACTACTACTAGACGATAGCATTGGCAGCACTTGCAATCCTAGGCCAAAGATCAGCACACTCTTTTCCAATTGGGCCGGTGATTGCAGAACCTATAAGGACCATACGAAAGAAAAAAGAATTTCAATAAAAAACAACTATTTATGGCGAAAAACAAGTAGACTGCCAATGAGCAGAAATAAAAAGAGACTCTCTCCCAATATTTGTAAAATAAAAGACCATTACCTTTCATTTCACCCTTGGGATTCACAATGACCCCTGCATTATCTGCAGATGCAGACCACAGATTTTAGAAACGAGTTCATGATTATCCAAGTGTCGAAGTAAACCAGATAAAAAATAAGAATCCCAAATCCCACAAAGAAAATTACAACCGACTGAAGAAAAGACGATGAAATGCATTGCAAAGAATCCACAAACAAACACCATGTTTGTGATAGAGAGAAGTTAGCTAACGTCAGCTTCCACTAGAAGCTCTTTTAGTTGGACAAGGCACTTTCAAAAAATTATCCAAATCTCTCAAAAGCAGCTTTTGCTTCTCAGAAGCCTTGCATAACGGGCCCAAAAACTTCATACCATGATGCAGAATCAGGAGTGCAAAAAATACACGTAATGCAAATATACAAACCACACCACAAAAATATCATCAGTTATAGCTTTTTACAAAGAAGAAGCAACCTTACGCCAAAAGAATTGGGAAAAAGTGCCAATTACATAACATAGAACTGAATGATATGCAACCGGAAATGAATCAGAGTACGTTTTTCATTAAATCGTCGAGAAAATCATGAGAGAAAACAAACAAAACAGGACAGCACATGCACAATTTTATTCACAGATCTATGAGCCTGATCATTTGTATATAAATGTAAGTGTTGAAGTTATTGAAGGAAGCAGGTGTGTTCAAAGATGGAGAAGGGTGAATATGTATAGATACCTTCGAAGTACATGAAAACACCGTCCTTTCGGCGCCATGGTTTGCGCTGGCGCACAATGACAGCGGGCATGACCTTCTTACGAAGTTCTGGCTTACCTTTCTTCACAGTGGCCATCACCATATCGCCGACGCAGGCAGAGGGCAGCCTGTTGAGCCTCCCCTTGATCCCCTTCACCGAAATGATATACAGGTTCTTCGCACCAGTGTTATCGGCGCAATTTACCGTCGCAGCCACCGGAAGACCCAGCGACATTCTGAACTTGTTACCCGCCGATCCTCCACGTCCTACACAAATATCAATTGCAGTGAAACATTATATTCCTAACAGGATACCAAAGATTTAGAGGAAATTGAATCGTGAATCAGATACCGTACCTCGCTTCGACATTTTGGATCTCCTCTCTCTCTGTCTCCCCCCTTCTAGTGGCGCTAGATTTTATATGGGAGTTTAGGTGTGCTAGGGTTTTGTCGAGTGAAGGGGCTGTTTGGATGTGACAAAAAAAGGTAGTTTTGTATTCCCCATTTGTAATGCCAAATTTTGTCCGAGAAATTATACTCATATGTAAATAAATTAATTTTTCGAAGAAAGAATTTTGTTTAGGACAATGCTACAAGTACTCCCTTGTCCACCGAATTCTTTACAGCCTGCTGACATGGTAAAATTTTGAATTGTCAAAATATCAGCTGGAAGGAAGGAAGGAAGGAAATAAAGACAGCGATAGTGCAAAAAAAAAAAAAAAAGAATAATAAAGAAAAGGGATGGCGCCTAAATTTCCCCCCGAAATCCATATCCCCAAATCAGGTGAAATTTACCGTCCAACTCCAAAATCGAAGGTGAGCAAAAACTTCGTTGTCTACAGTAAAAAGGGAGTCATACTTGAACCCGTTGGACAACGCAGGCAACTTTGACATTGACGGCGACAGGAGGTTGTTATGCCAATATTCTGCGGTTAAAGATGACATTGAAGCAGACAACTTCCAGGCTGGTAACCTCGACCCTGACGACAACATGGGTAAGATTTATTACTAACCTTGACATATACTACCAGCATCTAATGGTTCTCATATTATTAACTTGAAATCTACTTCACTTGGGAAGGGGCTGGGAGCTCAACTATGTATAGATATCTTCCTTGAATAAGATAAATACTCATACCTGGGAGGGGGGCTGTCAGTTGAACTATCATTGCTCTGATTCAGAAAAATGTTGTGGAAGTCTGAATTTTTAAGCTGAAGTGTAAGAGGAAAAAATCCATTTCTTAGTGCAGTACAAATAATTTTTTGACTGAAAAACAGTGAGTTGTTAATGGACCAACTTTTGCCTTGCCCAGTTACAATCATTTATATTTGAATGATTTTGTGCGAACACAACTATTATTACCTGCTTCTCATCAATGTAGGTTATGTGCAAATTCCTTCGTCCGAAGATGACAATCCGAATGATAGTGGCGTAGGTGAAGAAACGAAAAATATTGAACCCACTGTTGGAATGAAATTTAAAGATGAGAATGATGTTTTCGAATTTTATAAGCACTATACTTACCAAATTGGCTTTCCTGTGCGAAAAAGGAATTCAAAGAAAGGTGATGACGGAGTTGTTCGTTATGTAACCTTGACATGCAGTCGGGAAGGCCGTCGAACTAGTGGTACAACTACAGTTTTGAAGCCTCAGCCAACCATGCAAACTGGGTGTAAAGTAAGATTGACGGCATGTTCTAAACTTACTGGGGGATGGCGTATTAACACTGTCCACTTAGAGCATAATCACAAAACAAGCTCATCCAAATCAAGGCTATATCGATGTAATCGCCAAATTAGTGCACGCGTGAAAAGGCAGCTTGAAATTAACGACATTGCTGGAATACCATTGCACAAGAGTTTTTACTCAGCCGTAGTTGAAGCTGGTGGGTATGACAAGATTGCATGCGTTAAGAAAGATTGAAGAAATTTCATTGACAAAGTTTGACGTTTGAAACTTGATGAAGGAGACGCGATTGCAATACAATCATATTTTTCCAAGATACAAGCAACTAGTCCTGGCTTCTATTTTAGTATAGACTTGGATGACGAAGCCCGACTACGGAATATATTTTGGGCAGATAAGAGGTGTAGGCAAGCGTGTAAGGAATTTGGTGATGTAGTCACATTTGACACTACTTACTTGACTAATAAGTATGAAATGCCGTTTGCTCCATTCGTTGGGGTGAACCATCATGGACAATCAACTCTTCTAGGATGTGGTTTGCTCTCAAATGAGGATAGAAGGACTTTCGTATGTCTATTCAAGACATGGCTTCAATGTATGCATGATTAAGCCCCACATGGAATTGTTACAGATCAAGACCGTGCTATGCGAAATGCAATTGAAATCATATTTCCGAACACAAAACATAGATGGTGCTTGTGGCATATAATGAAAAAGTTACCTGAAAAATTTGGTGGGCATAAACATAAAGCTCCAATTCTTCATGTTTTGCATTGTTTGGTTTATGACGTCCACAATTGTGAGGAATTTGAGCAAGGTTCGAAGAAGATGCTCGAAGATTATGATTTACACGAGCATACTTGGTTAGCGGGTCTGTACAATGAAAGAAGTCGATGGGTGCCATGTTATTTGAAATCTTCATTTTGGGCGGGCATGTCAACCACATAGCGGAGTGAGGGTATTAATGCATTTTTTGATGGGTATGTTTATTCGAAAACATCCCTAAAGCAATTTGTGGAGCAGTATGAGCGTGCGTTGCGAAGTAAAATTGAGAAAGAGTTTCAAGCTGACTTCAGATCATTTTCACAGATGGTCCCATGTGCGACAAGGTACGAAATGGAGAAATAATTCCAATCGGTTTACACAATCGCAAAGTTCAAGGAATTCCAGGAGCAGTTCACCGGAAAGGTATATTGTGAAGTACTATGCGCTCATGATTCGTACATGCATATTATATATGATGTACGTGAAGACATTATTTTGAATGACTGTATGAAGACATGTATTTTTAAAGTGCGGTTGCGTAAGGATGAGTGTGATTTCAAAGTTTTGAATCAAATTGAAGGAAGATCGCAGTGTTTCAAGGGGGAAGCAATGGATCTACTAAAAACTGATAATCAGCTCCAATTACGGCTTATGTCATTTGGTTTTTGCTAATGATTTGTGTAATTTAACATAGGCGGCTGAACTACTAAAAACTTCTTACAATGGATTATAGCAATGGTCGTTTCTTGTCCAGTATTGACAATTAGCTTATGAGAATTTCCAAGATGCAATTGTTTTGGCTGTCACTGGAAATGACCAAAAGAATGTGGGAAAGTGATCATTGTTAATGCAGAATGTAGCTTATGAGAATTACTTGTAATGCAAATTTGCTAATGATTTGTGTAATTTAACATAGGAAGCAATGCAGATTTTTTTGGCTGTCACTTGTGATCGTTGTTTGTAGTTTTTGGATTATATTTGTAATCTTAATCTGGGAAAGTGAACAAATATTGTGTTGTGTTTTTGCAAATTTAAGCTTGTTTTACAGTAATCTGTCTATAGTTAGTAGTTTGATAACGTTACTTTTCTAAGTACTTGATTCATTCTCAATATGATAAAGGGACTTCGACAAATTAATTATAAAACATGGTGTTTGTATATTGTTTAAGATAAACAATTCTTGGGCTACCTTGATGCTTAGGTAGGAGACGAGTAGATGCATGAAAAATGATTAACAATACAAGAGCCAACTCACAAGTACACAACAACTTTGCTTCATTGAAATATATGCAAGAGACAACAACTGTCACTAACCAATTCAAAGCCAATAGATATGGGATCAATAAGCCGCAATTAGATGTTGAAGTCGAAATCATCCAAATACAGGTAAATCAAACTTAAAGCCAACGAAGTGAAAATCATCCAAATACATGTAAAACAAACTTAAAGCTAAAGAAGTTGAAATCATCCAATTACATAGACTTCAGATTAAATCATCCGAAACACGTTTCCCCTTACGCATGGTTATGTTAAGGGAAATCTCCACATCTTGCTCCTCGGTTATTTTTGCACATACTTTCAACATATGGGACAACTTATGGACCGGTTCACTTCCTTTGGTTGTGCCACTTGATTCGCCTTGCAACAGATACTCTTTATCAGGCAAAACATTACAAAACATGAAGAATCCACAGTCGTGAGTACAGGAATGGAACAACTTCCTTAATTCTTGGAATTTTTTTTTACCTCCAACCTCTAACGAACCCATCTCCACAGTTTGGGCATCTCTTCTTTTTGGGGCATTCCAGCATCAAGTGTCCTGCCCCCCGGCAAGAATGACAAATTCCTCTGTTCTTCCCAGCCATCAACAATACTGATTCATTCACAAAGAACTATTGGTTCATCATAAATTGACAGGATGATTAACGTTGCAATTTTTCCACTCTACAAGCTGAACTGTAATGACATGGGAAAAAAAACACGGTATCTTTCTCAATGCATGCATTTCACCATCAACAACCCCATCAATTTAACTGTAAATCGGACTTCACATAACAAGCCCATCAATTAACTGTAAATCAGATATCACATACGCAGATTGTGCAGACACAACATTGAAATAAATTCTTCAATTTCTAGAATGAGAATTGGGCATATAGGAAAATCCAATTTCTCAGATATAAAAACCTTGGGTTCTTCATATTTCAACAGATCTACATTCAAGTCACTGTATTGCCCTAAACCTTAAATATTAAAATTAAAATAAAAAATGGAATTCAGATTCGAAGTTCTTAACCTGGATTCTACAACTACGTCGACCAAATTTCTGACGCCGTCGTCTTCCCCGTTCTCCTAGATTTGCTTGTTCACGATCTTCACCGGCCACTTGAAGGACATCATCGCATAGACTATATCGAGTGCAGGACAGAGAGAAAAAACATCCTTGGCCAAATTTGTAATGCCGTCTTCTTTCGCGTTCTCCTAGATTTGTTTGTTCGGCATCTACACCAGCGATCTGGAGGACATCTTCATCGGCTAGTCAGAGAGTTATTACAGAGAGATGGAGGGGAGAGAGAGACAAGTCTTGTGTGCAGTGTGCGTGAGTAAATATGTTTTCGCCCAATATCTTTTAAAGTTGATAATTGCCAGAAAAGTGTTAGATGACATTTCGACCAAGTGACGTTTTTTTGAATTCAAATTATCGTCAGATCTGTCAAAAATTCTGGCAAACTTTATGTACATATAGAATTTTCCTTTTGTTTAACTATTACAATTGAAAGTAAAAATTATTATTTTCAAAATTGCAATTTTTATAATTTCCTCGCCATCTAATTGTGAAAATCCCACGTTGTGAAATTGAGGGCTCAATAGTATGGATGTCATCTAAGATTTATCCTTTTATAAGCCAAAGAAGCTAAAGTATGGTTCTTTGAAAATCATTTGAAATTTGACCTCGTACATAACCAAATAAAATAATTTTATGCATACACTCATTTTCTTTTTTCTAATCATAGACCTTACATTTTCCAAAAAAATCAATTTTCATAATATTATTCTCAACAAATCTACATTAAACAGGCTCATAATACTAAACACATGATTAATAAAATCTTAGCTTATTTATCTTCTTGTATGGTTGTAAGTTGTAACCATATTGCTAAGCATTGTCTTCATTAAATAGCGGAAGTTATAATAATTACTTCATTTTGCTTTCCAAGGGATTGCTAGATAGTGTAAAGATTTCAATCCACACCATAATTCAACTATAACATGTATTAAAAAAAAAAAACTGAGATTTTTTTTTTTATCAATGGCCAACATATAGACTAGTCATAGTTCTAACTATCGAGTGTTACATTCCATAACAAACCATGATCTCTGTTGACATGCAAAAAGTGCAGCCCAATTCAAATAGCCCAAAGAATGAAGTCCAACTAGGCGATTCAGGATAAAGGCCCAAATAGGGTTATTAATGAATGCAATGGAAGCCCACGAACGCGGTAACACCATCGCCCAAACTTACAAGATGCCCAGGATCTGAGCGAATAAAGTGCCTTGCAGTCGTCCAAAGTTATGACCCTGTTCTCACCCAAACCTTCGAATCGTCCAGGATCTTAGCAAACATGAGATGTTATGGTTATCCAAAAGTGCAATTATTGAAACAGTTATTGGGTAATCTTATCACGTTCCACGATTCAAGGATGTTCAGTTGAGGACGGTTGAACGACAAAGAGTAATGGCAGCAATTAGAGACGACAGTTCCCCGATAAGTTGGCCACCATGAAGAAAGTGGGCAGTTATAAAATAATTGAGCAGTTTCTAAGCGGTTAATCACAAAGAGAGCATCAAGGGAATATAAAAGAGAGAAAAAACATAGAGCAAAGGACCCCGAATCAAATACTCTCAAACAGAGAATATGTAATTTCAATTTCTTAGTTTAGACTTAAAACATTTCTTTTCAGTACTCGTGTGCTTGCGCCCCTTGGAGGCATTTCTGTTTAAGTTCCAATTGTAAAGTCATTGCCAATAAAACACCCCTTTTTGGAATTTTGTCTCAAGAGGTTTGTCCCTTACACAATCGTCTGACCTCTTTTTAATTGTTAGCGACTACCTGCGCGAAACAATCTCAATAACAAGTGACGTCTGATGATATTATGTAAAGCCGGATTGAAGCAAAACAATAAATAACAAAGTCTGACACTTCATAAATTAAAAGTAAGCTACATGAATTCTTTTTTGCCGGCCCATTCAAATGGGGATGTAAAAATCTTAAACGAAAAAGTAAATTAATACAAAACTGAGTTAAATCCACAAGTAAATCACTTCATTAGCAGCGTACATACAACTCGCTAAAGTAGACAACACCTGCTTTACTCGACTCTGCTAAGCAGAAATGCGCAAACATCACAGGATGAGAACTCCAAAACTAATGCTGATGAGATCATATGTGCCCTAATTGCACTGAACCAGCATTGATGAAGAAAAAGGAGGCGGTTTTTTCACTAACTTTCTAGTACTGGGTACCAAGCATACACTGCGGGCATGGAAGAGAAGTCTAGATTGCATGTCATTCCTTGAATTTTCACCAGTGGCAAGCAGAACCAAAAGCCACATGGTCATCTCCTCAAAGATTTGGATCCTGTCGAACAACCGATTCTAGTGAGCAGCATTAATGAAAGACAAGAAAATACACGACATAGTCTTGATGTACAACAAATCTGTGCCCAACTTTACTATTCTGACTTCTGCGATGATCTATAAAAGCACAACTGTCATGATATGATAATGTAGATATTCTGAGATTATGGGATAATTAGGATTTGATTATGTATGATTGTATAACTATATTTAGATTAGGTAATTTTTTCTCTTTTCCATGTATAGGAAGTTACCTTTTTGGTCCCTCTTCCTATGCTATATATTGAGGCTCTAAGATTGTAATTAAAGTGTGAGAAAGTATTGTAAAATTCATCAATACTCTCGTTCCAATTTACATGGTATTAGAGCTAGGGTCTGTCCCTACCTAACCACGCAATCAATGGAAGAAAACACCGCCAACGGCAAGGAGTCGACAACCTCAGAAACACAAAACTGTGAAATTGAATCCCTTTCCACCTTGGGCTCTGGTAGACTCAACAATTCCTCCTTTCAACTTACAATCGAAAAGTAGAACGGAAAAAATTATTAAGAATGTGCTCAGTCAATAAAACTCATCGTCAACAGAAAAGGAAAGCTAGGTTACCTTACCGGGGAAAAGAAAAAGCCCGCCTCAACTGACATCGAACTTCTACAAAAATGGAGGCCAAAAATTCAATGGTGACTGCGTGACTAGTTAATTCCATCAAACCTCCGATTGGAAAGACTTACTTGTTTCTACCGACAGCAAAGGATGTGTGGGATACCGTTCGTGACATGTATGCAGACACTGAAAATTCTTCACAAATATTTGAGATAAAAAAGAGACTCTAGCAGACGAAGCAAAGGGGGAGAGACTTGACAGACTACTACCTGGAGATGTCTTCACTCTGGCAGGAACTCGATCACAATGTTGATGAAGAATGGGACTGTCCGGCCGACAGTGTACGGTACAGAAAGAAGATTGAAAACGAACGGGTATACGAGTTCCTAGCCGGGCTTAATAGGGAATTAGATGATGTGAGAGGAAGAGTCCTTGGCCGGCAACCCCTACCGTCACTTTGCAAAGCCTTCGCTGAGGTTCACAGAGAAGAAAACCGACGAGGAGTGATGCTTCGAGAAGATAAGAACACCGGGCTTGAAGAGAAAACTGGGTCTGCGTTATTATCAACAGAAAATGGGCTTGGTGAGTCGACCTAATTA